GTGACCACTAAGAGTGATTTAAGCTTGAAAACGTAAATAAACCTGTGCATTTAAGATGACAGTAAAACTATTATTTGACCATGTTCACTGCTGAACAGGTAACCAGCTCAACTGATTTGGGGCTCACAGAGCTATAAAAAGAAAGCATTTCTCTTTGTTTTACCCACAAATATATTACAGATAAGGGGTTTTTTTCTTTGCAGTCTCTGTAATTCATACTGATGTTAACAGCATTGTAATTTTACACACTAATTGGTGCAGCCTGAACCAGACCCACTCCAAACAAGGGAGATGTGAACCAGGCAGGCAGCAATCTTCCCACACTTCCTTTTGTGCCGGTTTAAAACTCACCAGGGACCTCACAGAAACCTTACCAATAGCAACAGCTGAAATGAGTCATAAACGTAGCTGCTCCCAAAGCCCAGAGTGTGCAGGCTGCTGTGGCTGGTGCCACGTGTCCCCTCTCCCTCCTGGAGGAGTCTGGCTTGTGTTTGCTGCAAGGCATCACCACCTCCCTCTCGGCTCACTCATTTCTCCAAAGGCTCTGCCCCGTTGTTCAGGCAAAGGAGGCAGCTGAGCTGAATTTAGCTTTAAATATACTGCCATTGTCTCAGCGTTTTCTTTTTAGATGTAATTCATTAGCTCTTTTTACCTGACAGAGCTGCTCTTTGCTTATTTTATTCAGTCAGTCCTCTCTCTTTTTAACTTATAGAGTCAGGCACTGGACTGATTGCATATTTCTAGTGACTTGTGCAACAGAGGGAAAAAGGACATAGGCCTCCATAGCATACTAAAAGCCTAAAGGTATTTATGTTAAATATTAATTTGAAGTTGGTCATAAAATCAGGAAGTGCTGAATCTAATGCCTGAACAAAGATTAAAAAAATATTAAAAAAAAAAAAATGGTGCCATAAAACCAGACTTGCAAGTGATCGAAACCAAACAAAATCAGCAATAGCACAACCAGATGAGTTTCTACACACCTTGACATTACTCAGAATACTATCTTGTTTACTTAGGTAATGATGTGGCTTCTGTACAAAAGGATACGTTTTTCCTGAGAGACTCTGGCTCTACTTGGACCTGAAGGAGAAGCACACCTTGTGTGCCACCAAGCCCTGACGAAGTCTTCACCACTACTTCTCATTTTATAGAAAATTGGCCAACCTACCAGTGTAGGGGCTACTTTAAAGCAGGGCATTTCCCCCCAGATATGAATGGCAAATAGGAAATTTGCCACTGCTAGTGCTGGTTGCCTCAGGAGAGAAAAAAAATGCACTTATTTACAAAAATCTGTATTTTAGTTGCTAGGGGAGCTTCGGGTTCCAGGCTGCAAACAGTTTACATTAAAGTTTAAAGAAAAAAAAGTTGAAACGACAATTAACAGCAAAATGGATGTTAATTGTATCCAGTTAGCACCCTAAACATTATGCAACAGAGCATTATTTTGTTCTTCTGGTACTGAAATTGGAAAGGAATTGTAACCTGTAGTGGGGAAAACAACTGTATGTTAGCACCTGCCACAGCAAGGATTATTTGTCTGTTCCACAGCAAGTGGAACGCTCCCACAGCTTGGCTGCTAAGGCACTCAGGCAAAGGAGGCAATATCCTAGGAGCAGGCATTAGACACTGAGCTATAGGATATGAGGGACTTTTGGGACTTTGTTTCTGAAATGAAGAGCTAGACTGTGGGAACTGTGAATCCTCAGATGAAGAAGGCACCCCTTGGAGCCCAGACATGAGCAGTAAAATGTGAGAACCACCACAAGAATAGCAAAAGCTATTCACAACACTTTCTGATAAAAAGAAGGGGTAACAGTTTTCAAGGAGAGGCACTTACTTCCTCAGAAGTTTCCAACTGGTCTATATTCTTATCTTTGTATTGTCTTATTACAATAATTTATAATGAAAAAAACATATAATATCCTTTTGCGTTGGCTTCTGTTGGTTCATTGGCCTCTGAAACAATATTTTTTCCTGCATATTATTTCACAGTCTTGCACAACCTTGAAATTTCTGATGCTAAAACCTGTGATACTTGTTCTTCCAGTACTAAAACCACGCCCACTGAACTGTAACCTATGGCTATAAAACTTGTAGCAGGGACAACCAAGAAGAGAAAGTATCAAGCAAGTTCCCACTGAATTTCTCATTAAATCAGAGAAGATGTGTTTTTCCCATCAACTGGATCTCCAGGATCATGGACATTCCTGGGATTGTAACCCATGACTATAATTGCTCCAAAATAAAACAGCCTACAAACTGTTTTTCCACATCACCTTTGCAGAGCAGTGAGGAGGGAACATCATAGCATATGGCACCACATCCACAGAAATGCTGTTTGGACCAACTGGCAGAGCACTCCTCAAAATAGCTCTGAGTCAGCAGGTTTTGCAGTCATGAAGGCAAAGCAAGAGGAGAGATATTTAAGCAGATCACAAAGCATTTGTGCACACACCACAACTCCTACTCATGGCGCAGCTTTCGGAGCGTTCTCAAGGAAGAGGAGGATTAGACTGGCAAAGGCTATTAAATATTCTCTCATGCAAAGGAATGGAATTAGGCCCACAAAAGTAATTTGCTTGGAATATTAACCTGGGAAATGGGAGATATGTTTGAACTCCCTTGTGGCAGAAAAGAAACTGAACTTGGGTCATTTACAACCTGATTATCCTAACCATGAGTAATTTTAAATAAAAAGAGAGAACTGGGATTTCTTCTCCAGCTGTGCTTGTCATAAGGCTTGATCTTATAATTGTGTTCTTTGGATATCTACAGGATGAGACAAGTAGGAATTGGAATGAGAAAGGTAGACGAACAACTTATATTTTAAATATATGGAGAGTTCTAAAATATCTAATTATCTAATATCTAATGTTAATTTATACATGCATTCACCTAAAACTTAAAGAATGGTTTGTGTAATGTTGAAAAGTCATAAAAATCTATTAAAATAGCCTTACCTAAGGACTATATTATGTGGTCTAGGTGCTTAGATACTCAGCCCAATATCTGGTCAGATGTTGTGTGAATTGACCCACCTGAAGCTTCACCCTGCCCTAGACAGGTTGGCTACTCTAGGATTGTGTAATCAACAGATGTGTCCCCTGAGCCCTGTCATAAATTGCAAAAATGAAATAAAAGAAGTTGTGAGAACCGAGGCAACTAGTGGAAATGCTGCAGCATTTATGAAAATAGTTTTTCATGAGAGGGTGTTTGGAGTTTCTGAAGCTGCATAACCCAAACTGGAATGCTTTAGGAAATAGGGAAAGGTAAAATGATAATCTGAGCAATGTCCTCTCCTATATTATCAAAGCAGACTTTTTATGTCTGCCCCTCTTATAGGGTGGGTTTTTTTTGGTGGGGATGTTTTTCAGTAGATTTTTGTCAGCTATATGACAGCAGCTATCGGTGACATGGAGGGAATGGGGACACAGATTGTTCTGAACACTGAGCTGCAATGGGCAGCCACCACAGCCAACATCTGTCTGCCTGCCTCCCTCCCTCCTCCCCAGCTCCACTCAGCCAGCAGTATGCCTCACCCCGAGAATTCGGTTTGAAAACCATGAAGAGTTGTCCACTCATGAGAATAAAAAAAACTGCAAACCCATGAGAATTAAGAAGACCAAAGCCAGACAGGGATGTTGTTTGCTCTGGGTCTGGTATGGGCAGCATCATGCCATGGTCACACAACACCTGAGTCTGGAGATCATCCTGCCCCCTTGGCTACCCAGCCTTCAGGGGTGATTGCTCCCTGCCTAGCTGTGTCCGTCATTAATTCCCCACAAGAGCCCATGGGAAGAGAAGTGAGGAATAAAGACTGGATTTTCTGTTTTGAAGAGATTATATTTTGCATCAAATTTTGCATACTTTTGTTAAAAAAATATCCTCGTTCCCCTCCCCCTTCCAATGACAACCATATTCTGCTGCATCTAGGAGAAGCTCCTGTTTTGTTTCAGTGCTTTGAAATTTACATTCTAATAACCCCTTCCTCACTTAGGAACTCTTGAACTGAAAGCTAATGGGAATTCAAGGGTGTTGGTAAGAGGGGCTAGGCGTGTCAGTTGTCTCCTCCCAGTGAAAGCCTTGAGAATTAAGAAAAACTACAAAAAACCAACCAACCAACCAACCAAACAAAGCCAACAAAAAACCAGATAAAATTTACTTTAAAAACAAATTATAATTTATTTTATTTATTTTTACAAAGACAAAATTTATTTTTTAAAAAACCAAGGACTGCAGGACAGGCATGAAGCCAGTGCAGTCTGACTAGGATCGGTGGACCCAGGCTTTGCTAGGATTGACTGCCCATGTGCAGGGGTCCCAAAGGGCAGCTGAGCACCATTCCTATCTATCATCTGTGGATATCACAGGATCACTGAATGGTACAGGTTGGAACGGACCACGGTGGGACATCTGGTCCAGCCTCCCTGCTCAGGCAGGGTCATCCCAGAGCACACGGCACAGGATTGTGCTCAGATGGTTCTCGGGTATCTCCAGTGAGGGAGACTCCACAGCCTCTCTGATCAATCGGTTCCAGTGTTTGGTCACCTGCACGGTAACGAAATTCATCCTCATTCAGGTGGAACTTCCTGTGCATCAGTCTCTGCCCGATTCCTCTCGTCCTATTGCTCGGCACCGCCGAGCAGAGACTTTTGGCACCCTCCCTTTAACACTGATAAACATTGATGAGGTCCCGTCTCGGCCGTCTCTTCCCGAGGTTGAAAAGGCCCAGCCCTCTCAGCCTGTCTGGTAACATCAGCTCCTTGATCATCTTTGTCACCCTTCCCCGGACCCACTCCAGGAGCTCTCGTGCTGAGGAGCCCAGAACCGGACACAGGCCCGGGGCTGCAGAGAAGGGCAGGATCACAGCCCCCGCCCGGCTAGCAAGGCTCCTCCTCACGCATTCCCGGTGCGGCGCTCCCGGCGGGACGGAGCCGCGCTCGCGCTGCCGTGGCAACGGGGGCGCGAGACACCCCGGAAGCGAACGCGCGCGCCGGCCCCGCCCCCCGGCGCTCGGTCAGGCGGCCCCGCGCGCGGAGGGTGACGACGTGTCGCGCGCGCGCGAGGGGGAAGCCGGAAGCGGCGCGGCCGCGTCAGGGCGGGCGCGGGGGGCGAGAGACGGAGCCGCGACCCCGCTGCCGCCCAGCGACCCCGGCCCCGCCGGCACAGCCCCGCCGCCCCCCGGCCCGACATGGCTCTGCGGCGCCTTCTCTTCTTCGCTGCCGCGCTGGCGGCGGCCTCCGTGCCCGCCGCCGCCTTCTACCTGCCGGGCCTGGCTCCCGTCAACTTCTGCGAGGCCGGCAAGGAGAAGCCCGAGTGCAAGGTGAGCCCGGGGGGCGCTGAGGAGAGGCCCCTGAGGCCGCCCGGGTGCGGCGGGGCCTGGATGTTGTCCCTTGCCGCGGGGGCTGTGTAGCAGGGTTTGTCCGGAGGGCTTGGAGCCGCCTCGCTGTGCCGTACCGAGGCTCCCCGGCGGCGCGGGGGCTGTGGCTGCGGGAACTCGGAGCGTGGAGCGGTGCACGCTGTGCTCAGGTTGCTCACAGAATTGTTAGAGTTGGAAGGGAGCGGTGGAGATCATCTGGTCCAACCCCCCTGCCAGGGCAGGGTTGCCGGGAGTAGGTGACACAGGAACGCGTATGGAATGTCTGCAGAGGGGGAGACTCCGTGACCCTCTGGGCAGTCTGTTCTAGTGCTCTGCCACCCTCAGTGTAAAGAAGTTCTTCTTCGTGTTGAGGCGTAGCTTATCGTGTTTGAGTTTATGGCCATTGCTCCTTGAAAAGGAAATTGATGAGACAGAGGACCCAGGGAATGGCAGAGGTGCTTGCCTGGCTCAGCTCCGGCCTGGCTGGGAGGTGACCACGATCCCTCCGAGGGAAGGAGGGAGCTGTCGACTCATCCTATGAATTACGGCCACGTCGGGGAAGTAGGAAGCTCCGGCCGGTTATCTCTCGGGCCCTTTCAAATCCCTGCAGGAAAGCTGCTGCAAGTAAGGATGGCAGGTGACAGGTCATGCCGAAGGGTGTGTGTGTGATTCTTGGCAGGAGCGAGCAGCTGGTGGCTGCAGCAGATATCAAAGTAAGCATCCAGTAACACTTTCCTTGCTGTGTCTTCCTGGCTGCAGGAACCTGAAGTACAAGGGCTTCTAGGCCCTGTGTCAAGTGAAGCTTAAACTTGCCTTCATGCCTGCAGAAGTGACTAGCAAATTTCACATAACCAAATAACTCATTTGTACGGATATTGGTGGGGAGCATTCATGTAAATCTCCTCTGATGAAAAATCGTCTTTGCTCCTTTGGGGTACCTTTTGAAGCTGTTTCCTGCTGCTGTGATGGAAATTACAGCAGACTGTGCTTTAATACTCAAATGAGAAAGTTCAAGACCAATCAGTTTTATGATTCATGGTCTTACTACTGTAGAAAGTGGCTGTCTTGTACTTTCTGAGCTCTCAGCTTCTGCGTTGCATGAAACATTGGTTCATAATTCTTCAGAATAAGAGCCTGCTTAAACTGTATGCTTTTGGTAAATATCATGTGCTGACTTTATCCTTCTGCTGTCCTGAATCAGCAGAGCCGGGAATAAGCCAGGCACATAATGAAGACTCTTCAGTTGTAGTAGTATATTCTCTGGACATTCTACTTCAGGACCGCAGAAATGGTGTTTGGAAGTGACCTCAGCAGGTCACATACTACAGCCTCATGAGTATGGAGCATGAGAGGACAGAAAGCACCACTTTTGTCAACACTTGATCAACTCAGCTCTACCTTTGTTTAAGCAAGCTTTGGAAACATCCAAGCATAGAGTATCCATCTCCTCCCTGGGTGACCTGTTAAAGTGCTGCACCACCCTCTTAAGGAATGGGTTTTTTTTTTCAAATACAGGCTAAAGCTTTCAAGCTGCACTTTGTGCTTTTTCACAACATCCCTGAAAAACATTGCTATGTTTGGATTATTCCTGTTTTAAGCTTGTAGAAGAAAGATATATTTTTTTAAGTCAGGTGGACCACATGGCCTACTGTCTTTTTTAACCAACCTGAGACACTTATGAGGTGATCTTTCTCAGATATGTCTTTATTTTTATTTCTCATATAGCACGTACAAAATGTTTGTCTTCTCCTGAGAATTTATCATTTAATAAATGTAAAGTGAGGTACTTGGGTAATGCAAATGTACCACCAGCAGGCAGCTGAACACCTCAACAGCTGTACTAGTGCAAAAATTCCTTCTGCAATTAGCCACCTCTTATCAATTTCCATGTTAGATAAAGGTATATGGAGAAGTCTAAAGCACTCTTCACATCTAATTCTCTCCAGGTAATTTGCAGCTGACTGTACTCTGGTCCGTGGTAGGGAGAAACAATATATGATCAGATTATTGCTGTATCATATTTATGTAAGTGGATAAAATTAAGCTTCCTTGGACAGGCTTCATTTTTTTCATTTCTCACAGATTTCTTGCAGTTACCACTGTTAATTGCAATGTCAGTAATAGTGAATTTTCCTCTGCATGAGGATTTTGATCCACATGCCAGATCTCAATACCTACTGTCTGTTATGATCCCTGTGATCTCCTGTCCTGTGTTGGTGAGACGGGATGAGATGTTGTTAATGGGGCATGCAGGTAAGAGCAATGAGACCCTTGGCTTTCTTCCTTTTGCCAAGTTTCCTGATAATCTGCTTGGGCAAACTCAGGTTGGCTGCTGCTTCTGGTTTTGGTTGGAATATCACCAGAAATGGAATGGGATCTATGCAGACTTAAATAGTAATTCTTGTCTGAAGATTAAGAATCATTACTCAGTTTTTAAAAATACTGATCGCTTCAAAAACGGTTTGGTGTTGTATGGGAAATGGTTTATCAAATATGCTGATCTACAGTAATGCATATAATTCTTAGGAAAAGTTGCAACATTTACTTAAATATCTTCCAATGAAAAGTAGCTAATTTAAGGCCATGGTTCTGTGGCCAGCGGAGGCAGTCTAATTCCCTGCTGCTGGGAGTGAGAGATTTCATTCCTGTCTTCCCCTGGGCAGTGTATTTGTGTCCTCTGCATTGACCCTGGTGTGTAACTTGTTTTTTTGAGCTTAACATGGCAGGAAACTATCCAACTTTTTACCAGTCTAGTTTCCTGCTGTGTTAGGGAGTTGAAGTGGCTTACAGAATTATGGCAAGCATGCACTACCCAGAGGTGAGCAGCAGGTCTGCATGGCTTAGGGCAGGGGAAAGATGACCCTTAAGGTGTGTCTTCACTTAGTGGGTCATGCTAACAGTTCACAGAACTTCTTGTGTCTCCCAGGACTCCATTCTGACTTGCACATGGACGGCTAAACTATGTCAGTAAAACACAGTACCCAACTGAAGTATCTGAGCTACAGATACATGTGAACATTTCCATATTTTCTTTTCCTCCAGAATTTCTTGGTTTGGCTAAACTTGAGTGAATTTTCATAGGGAGGAAATGCTCTTCTGTTGGTAATATAATAGATGGCTTGCTCTTAAAAGGGAGAGGGCTTTTTCTTGAGGACATTCACCTTTGTTTTGCTCTTCAGCTCTTGTCTGATTACACAGTAAGACAGCTCAGTTTGTGTTGTGGTTTAACTCTAGCTGGCAACTAAGAGCCACACAGCTTCTTGTTTCCTGCTGACCCCAGCGAGATGGTGAGAACTGGGGGGAAGAGTAACTTGTGGGTTGCAATAAGAGTTTAATTGAAATAAAGTAAATATACTCAGACTACTAATAGTAGTAACAATAGGCATAATAATAATTTTTAATGAAAAGGAGAGAGAGAGACAGGAGAATAAAACCCAGGCAAAACAAGTTGCACAATACAATTGGTCACCACCCACTGATGGATGCCCAGCCCATCCCACAACAGTGATCGTCCCCTTCCAGCCAACTCTCCCAGTTTATGTACTGAGTGTGGCATTCCACGGTATGGAGTGGCCCTTTGGCCAGTGTCTCTTGGTCATGCTCCTTCCCAGCTTCTTGTGCACCTCCGTGCTGGCAGAACATGGGAAACTGCAAAGTCCTTGACTCAGAGTAAGCACTGTAGCCACAACTTAAAGCTTCAGTGTGTTATCACATTGAATACAAAACACAGCACTGTACCAGCTGCTAGGAAGAAAATTATATCCCAGCCGAAGTGAGGACAGCCTGCTGTGATACTAAGAACTGCTCTTTAAGTATTTTTTTGGTAAGTCTTTTGCTATTTAAGCCCATTGGATTGGTTTACTAGGCAAGCAGATAACTGCCAAAAGCAGTATAAAGCAAACACTTGAAATTTATTAGAACTCCAAGACTAGAATAAGGGAAGGGATTTTAAGACTAAGAGGGAAGAATGAGAGAGCTCTTCCTTTCCTTAGAAGTGGGCTAGCCTGTCTGTAATTAATGTATGTAGACCAAACTAGTCTGAAACCACAGTAGACTGAATTTCAGGTTCTTACTCAAGAGTTACTAAAAAACTTTTATAGGAAGGTAAATGTGGGTATCCTTGCCTTCTCTTTGAAAAGAGATTATGATCAAAATTAAAATGTTGTATCAGTCTGAATACATTGTTGAAATTATCATAGGTCAGTTTTTAGCTACTACACAGATTAAATATTGGAGCATCTTAATTACAGAGAGAAGTACTGGTCTCATCTGCACTTCTCTTCATGTTCTTCTGAGATTTTTATTACGCTAAAGTTGTGGTGATGACTAATATGACTAACTTGGTACATTAAACTCAAACACTGGCAGCTGCTAAGGATATTATTTTTGTGCATGGTCTCCTGCTATCTTGTAGTTGGAATGGTTATGTTAGCCTTTGAGTGTTTTTGTCATGTGGTCACTGCATTTGTGATGGTTAGATAGTGCTGTACTTACGCTCTCAGCACATACAGTTCACTATACATCAAGATAGATGATTATACAAATCTTACATTTTCAGCTTTCCTTAACCTTATTCAAACAAATCTATTTTTACATATCCATGGGAATCGAAAAAGTGCTTTAAATATAACTGCTGATTATCTCTGCTCTTTCAGTCTGGAATCGAGCTGTTTGTGAACAGACTTGACTCAGTAGAGTCTGTCCTCCCCTACGAATACACTGCGTAAGTATATTATACTGTTTGTGCCATTTTAATTGTCAATTTTTCCAAAAGGATGGATTTAATTTACCTTCAAGTATTATTGACATCTTGTTACAGCAATGTGCCACTGAGGCATGGCTATTTATTTTGCTAACATAAGTTTACAAATACAGAATTTTCAATGAGCAAATGGATCCCTACATTGCTTCCTTTGTCTCGGTTGTCTTTGCTTACATTTCAGTGCGTGGATTCATAGGCTCTCATGCAGGTTGAATCACTGTTGTAATGTAGCTTAAGGTTGAAATATGTGTGTATAAATATATGATACTTTACTGCATTAGTTGTCACTGTAGATCAAAGTATTACCTCTGTCTTTAGTAGCCGATGCCAGATGAGTTAAAGTGGTAATGAGGTGCGAACATCCCATCAATTATCTTAATGAGGTGTTAAATGTTTTCTTTGTACACATCATAGGAGTGCACAAAATGTATCAGTGTCTGGTACAACGATATAAAGTTTTTGCTATAAAGAATATTTTGACTGTTAATATTGAAGAGCTTAAGCACCAGTTATGTCTACACTTTAAGGAACACAAATGTGATATATTTAAAAATAGACTGGAAAAACAGATGCAGATGTTATGTCTGGAAAAACATGGAGGATGTAAATGTGTTGGTGAATAAAAATGTAATAACCTGTTCAATAGTGTTTGTTGTAAGGTAACTGTCTCTTGCGTTATTGTATTTTATTGTATTGTGTTGTGTTGTATTTTTTTATTTTTATTTTATTTTCCCTCAAATTCCAGAATCTGGCCTGCATGCTTTTTTCTCAGTCATTATTAAACTCTAGATGAAGATTTAATTCTTGTCTAAAATCCCTGTTCAAATAGGAAACTTCTAATTACTTTAAGAAACTTATCCTACATTGTTCTGAAATAGCTGATGAAGAGATTTGATTGTTGGTTCTGTTTCATCTGGTTTATTTTCAAACCGGGAAAGTGATTTTCACACTTCACAGGTTAAATGAAGAAACTGTTGTCTACAGGGAAAGCTGTATAATTCCTTGACTTGTAATGTGCATGTTGATTTGGGAACATTATTTGCAGCTGAGAATAATTTATTCATTTTTGTGTCTTTTCTCTAATTCAGGTTTGACTTTTGTCAAGCAGAAGGAAAGAAGCGTCCGTCTGAAAACCTTGGCCAAGTCTTGTTTGGAGAGAGGATAGAACCGTCTCCTTACAGGGTTTGTTCTCTGGCGGGGTGTGCATTCAAATGTAACCAAAGGAGATCAGAATCTTGAAGATGATTTTCACAAGGGCTTTATCTGAGAAAGCTTCAGCATCTGAAATTCCACACGATAGAAATCTGTCAGTTTAACCTAATTGTAACTGTGTGCTTTGCATCGTGGAGCTGTAGCCTGAAATGCTGTGTAGGTTATCCTCTCTCTTTGGGATCTGACAAAACCTGATTATTGCTGCTCAGCACTCTCATTTCTTGGAACCAGATCAGAAAATATTGCAGCCATGAAATGGAAGGATTATAAATGGTGTTAGCTTGCTGGTCTTTTCTGGTGACTGAAGCTCTCATATTCTCTCTTACAGAGGTAGTAGGAGAGAAAGTTATCAATTGAAGCTACCTGTGGCAGCATGGCTGCTGTGAGGTCAAATGACTTATCTGGTAAATCATGGCACAAAACGTGTTTTAGTCAGTAACAAGCTCTTGCCGTAGGGCTCCTACAATGAGTACAGGAAGGGTTTAGAACATCCATCAGTGTAAAAACCTCCTCTCGAGGGTTAGTGTACCTAGTCTCAGTAATTTGTTAGGTGTTTTCATTATAATAGTGTACGCAATGAAATGTAGAGGAGAAATGTTATGTACTGAAATAAGACAGTTTGTTATAACCTTTTTGCTCATGTGTCTTTCATTTTTCTTAGTTCACATTCAACAAGAAGGAGACATGTAAATCTGTTTGTACAAAAACGTATGATACCACAAAGCCAGAAGATAAACAGAAATTAGACTTTTTGAAAAAAAGTATGCTACTGAATTACCAACATCACTGGTAAGTTGGTATCAAAATTCATAGATTGGTTAGTGTAGCGTGTTGGTGATAATTTAGTTTATACTTTTGTATTTGCAAGTTAATACAGATGGAACACTAGATATGTGCTCTTAATTTCTTCCCCTTCTGTTTTTTGCATAAAATGTTATATTGTTTGTTGTCTTCATTAAGAAAATGCCTTCACTTGAAGGATAAGCACTAAGAGCAATGGAAATGCATCTGTTTCTAAACACAAAGCTTTGTACTTACTGTAAAATACTGCTGCTTTTTTTCACCTGTAAATGTAGAAGTTCGTTTTGCCTTAGCTTGAGAAGTCTTACAGGACCTTTATTCTGTTGCTGTGTTGTCTTTGTTTTTTTCAAGAGCTCTTGCACTCACCTTCAAATGCTGTGTACAGGAGACAGAATCAACAGTTCTGAGATTTTTATGCAATGTTTATTTCTTATCTATGGATGTGGAAGGGAAAAGTGGCCAATGAAAACTAGTTAATGAAATAATTTTGGAGAATGCTTGGTCCTTTCTTGTTCTCTGAGTCTCTCTGTAACCATCTGATTGACCTTGGAGCATGCTGGGGCTCTGTTTCAGCTCATGCATTGAATCCTTGTCCAGTGGGCAGTAAGGGTGGGACAAGGCTGAATGTGTGTGCTGAATCTCAGGCAGATTTTCTGTTTCCCAACACTGCACCAACATCCAAGAGCTATGAAATGTTTATCAGCAGGCTCAGTCTTGACACTGGAAATACACAGCCACATTATCAGTGTTTATTTACTGCTTGATGTGTTGGCATGCTCTGCCAACAGCAGCTTTCAGGTGCAAGAATAGAAGGGACTTGGGCAGGAGTTCCTGAGGCATATCTTTGCAAGGAATACATGAGCATCATTAACTGATGTCACTCATAGGTATGCTCTAATTCCAAATATGGGCCTCCTGCTTTATGGGAACAAACGTGTTGGTCTTCATCTAATTGGATTTAAACTTTTTGGATATTTTAGTAAAAATGCACGTTGAATGTTGCTGTTGTCATTAACTGTTTTTCTGAAATGTCACATTCTATTCCTTCAATTTTGAAACAGTTGGAAAGGCAACAAGTGCATTTTATACTGCTCTCAGGAACTGATATGGGATATCCCTTTGTGGGAGATAAACTGTGATTCACTGATGTAAATAGTTCTGGGAACATTTTGAAAATGAGTGTAGTAGGAAGTTGATGGGTTATGTCAGAAGGGTTCACAGGCAATAGTCATATGTTCAGGTAGATGAACAAGGAAGCCATAAAGAAACTCTGAAATGTACAGCTACTTTTGCAGGGATTTGTAGTGTATATACCTAATGCTAAAATAAGTGGAGCTTTGAACGTGCTGGACTTGATTATATTCTTCTTAAATCCTGCATATGTTTGTAATATTTGCACCACTTTGAATTTCAATAATGCATGTGAGTCTGTCATAAAAGCCTCACTTATAAAGGGTTGCGTTATGTTTTGGTGTGTAAATTAACAGTAGCTTCCCAAGGTTATGAGGCTTGAAAGAATTTTATTTTTTTTTTAGGAAAGCCCATAACTTAGGCTGATAGAAGCTGAAACAGAACTGTGTAAAACTAACCATACAAAGAAGTATTTCAGATTGGTTTGGGTTTTTTTCCCTGTAGATTAAATTGTTTTAAAAATATATTTAGTGTATTCAAGTATGCTTTTTTTTTTTTTTAACCAGTGTACCTAACTTGATAAGACTGTTGAGATTTAAGAAATATATAATTCTGGTTTTCAGAATTATTTGAGAAACTTCCCTTGAAATATAGATTATTTCTTAGTTCTTTTAATGGCATTTTTACAATTTTTTTATTGCTCTGGCCACTGCCCTAAAACTTCAGAACCACTAAAAAAATCCCTGACTATGTCTGTTAGTCCTCCTTAGCCAAAGCTTTACAAAGTGGCAGTGGCTGGATTTTGTGATTAATGATTCATGCTCCAGGAGTATGGTATAGTGGTATGTTGTACAGGGATCAACAAGGTAGCATAAGTGAGGATTCAGTAGAGGGTTATTATCCAGCTTCAATTTATCATGAAATTCCTGGGGAACACAGATGGTGAAAAGTACTTTTAAGGTTTCAAAAGCCACTTAATAAGATTAAGAATTGACATACTGAATTGGACTCAGCAGCTATACTGATATCTTGCCTGACAATGTTCATCACCAGATGTTCTTGAGAGACATATAAGAACACTGTTGAATAGCTTATTTGCTCCACATGTATAATCTCTTCAAGTCATTTTAAATTTTAAGATTAGCTGTGAAAAATGATTTGCTACTTAAACTATCAATTTGTTCCGGCATTGCCGCTTGAAGGCAGCTCAGTATGCCTTTGCTGCATGGATGCATAGGAATCCAAATGCTTTATCCAAACCAAACTTACTTGCAATATGTTAATGTTGCCTTGTTTTGATTAGGAGACGAAAACACTAACAAAAGCGAGCAATCTCTCTAGCATATGTTATGGAGATAAAACTTCAAATATACAAGGACAGGATTGTTTGTGTTGGAAAAGACCTTGAAGATCATTGAGCCCAACCATGTGGTGGGTTGACCCTGGCTGGACACCAGGTGCCCAGCAAAGTGCTTTGTCGCTTCCCTTCTCAAGTGGACAGAGGAGGGAAAATGTAGCAAAAGGGTCAAGATATGGGTAGACCGAGATCACTCATCAAGCACTGTCATGGGTAAAACAAACTCAAATTGGGGAATTTAGTTTAATTTATTACCAGTCAAATCAGAGAAGGGTAATGGGAAATAAACCCAAATCTTAAAACTCCTCCCCAACACTCTCTTCTTCCCAGGCTCAACTTCACTTCCAGTTTTCACCACCTCCTCCCCACAGGGGCACAGGGAATGGGGATTGTAGTCAGTTCATCACACATTGTCTCTGCCACTCCTTCTTCCTCAGGATCAGGACTCTGTACACTCTGCCCCTGCTCCAGTGTGGGGTTGCTCCCATGGAAGCATTTTTAATAAATATCCCCAATGCAAGTCCTTTCCATGAGCTGCAGCTCTTCAGGAACTGCTCCAGTATGGATCCCTTCCATGGGGTGCAGTCCTTCAAGAAGAGGCCGCTTCAGCCTGGGTCTCCCATGGGTTTGCAAGTTCTGGCACATCTTCTGCACAGTGGGCTCATTTTTCCATGGAGCCACAGGTCTTGCCAGGAGCCTGCTCCAGTGTGGGTTTCCCATGGGATCACCGCCTGCTTCAGGGCACATTTACCTGCTCTGATGGGGGGTCCTCCATGGGCTGCAAGGGGACAGCCTGACTCACCATGGGCTGCACCACAGGCTGCTGGGGAATCTCTGCTCCTATGCCTGGAGCATTTCTTCCAACCCTCTTCTCCACTGACCTTTGGTGCCTGCAGAGTTGCGCATATTCCCACTCCTCTCTCCAGCTGCAGATGCTGTTGTGAAGGGGGTTTTCTCCCTTTCCTAAATCTGTTTCCTAGAGGTGCTGCCTCTGGTCACTATGGCCTTGGCCTTGGCCAGCAGGGACTCTATGTTGGAGCCAGCTTGCACTGGCTCTCAGAAATGGGAGTTCTTACAAAAACTTCTATACCCCTCTGCCAACCAAAACCTTGCCACAAACCAAATATAGACATTAACCTAACACTGCCAATTCCACCACTAAACCATGTCCCTAAGTTATATCTAGTCTTCTAAATACTTCCAAGGTTGACTCCATCGCTGCCCTGGACAACCTGTTCCAATGCCTGACCACCCTTTCTGTGAAGAATTATTTTCTAATATCCAACCTGAGCTTTCCCTGCACAACTTGGGACCGTTTTCCGCTCTTCCTATCGCTAGTTGCCTGGGAAAAGTGGCTGACCTCCACCTTGAACATCTCTCAGGCATTTGAAGATAGCAGTAAGGTCTCTCTTGAGCCTCCTTTTCTCCAGACTAAACAACTTGAGCTCCCTCAGTCACTCATCATAAGGCCCTTCCCCAGTTCTGTTGCCCTTCTCTGGACATTTTCTAGCACCTCAGTGCCTTTCTAGTAGTGAGTGGCCCAGAACTGGACACGAGGTTTGAGGTGCAGCTGCCCCAGTGCTGAGTACAGAGGGACAGTCTGGTTCTGCTGGCCACGCTATTGCTGATACAGGCCAGGATGACACTGGCATTCTTGGCCACCTGGGCTCACTGCTGGCTCATGTTCAATTTCTCTGGACCAGCACCCCAAGTCCTTTTCTGCCAGGCAGAAAAGCACTCTTGCCCCAGCTTGTAGTGCTGCATGAGGCTGTTGTGAACCACGTGCAGAACCCAGCACTTGGCCTTGTTGAACCTCATGCCATTGGCCTCACATAATATAGTCAAAGTGTAATGAATCTAAATCTGGAATAGCTCCTTACTTGCAACTTCATTGTACCTTGTAGTAGCATGGTGAAGTGAGTAGGAATTGGTTGGTGCTGCTGCTGCTTCTTGCAACTGCAATAGCCTTTGGAATCTCCTGAAAACCTGGCAACTCTTATTTTTGTAGGGCCTGTCTTCATCTTTTCTATTGTGTCAATATAAACCAAGATTACTGCAGTTTATTTCTGCTGGGTAGCTACTGGTAGGGATTATACAGCTCTCTCCATGTTGCGTGGGTAAAGGCAGAACATACCCCACTTTTCTCCCATGTCTGCTGATGTGCTTTGAAAAGTAGTGCTAATATAGAGGCTGTTCCAATATGCAGCAGATTAAATAGTGCTTTTTTTTGTTATGTGAAGTCATAATTCCTGTGTTTAATATAATTAGTTCAATTCCTGTGTTTAAATTAAGTATTTTAAAGTATCTTTAAGACACTTAATTGTAAAGACATTCAGTAGCTTGATAAGTTGTACAAAATTTTGTTAGCTTTCAGTGGGATGTCTTTTTTTAGTTTTTTTAGTTTAGTGATGCACAAAATGTGGCAGTTGTCTAATGTCTTCATATATGAACTTAATACACGTTTGAAAATATACCTTGGGTAATTGATGCTGGCAGATACTGAATTTTAAGTCTTCTTTACATGACATATTTTGGGGATTTACCTTCTAGCTAGTTTAAACATTTCATAAAACATAAATTGGTTTAGGGTCTTCTAGTAGTTCCTTTTAGGAAGGGATCCTTTCTCTACGTTTTAAATTATGTTTTTGGTTTTGACATTTGTACTGTTAGTTGCATGTTAGATCCAGTTTGTGTCTTGCTGTCTTTTAACTTTCTTCAACTCATCATGGGAGCGTGCACTTCCACAAATTTTTCATTGAAACTGACCTATAAACCCCCTGATTTTAGGTATTACGAGTATAAATCTTGTGAGGCAATAATATAAAAGCAGCAGATTTGAAAGTTATTATTTCCCCAGTTGTTTGGTGGCTTACAATTTTTTGGTAATGCAAATCATCTAATTAAAATGTTGCATACTCTTTGGGAGCTATAAATGAGGTTAATGATTAGGAATTCATTTAAATAGCAAAAGAAAATGTTTTAGAAGTGCCATGAAAAATGTATTTTGCAATGAAAGAGCAATGAGGAAGCTGGAGAATTAATATGTGATGTAGACTTTGTTTTTTAATTTTGTGTTTTGTCTTAAACTTAAAATTATCAATTTTAGCTAGTTTAGCAAATGTGATGATTTTGGCCATTTTTTGAAAACAAAATAGTAAGTTAAATTGTTAGGACTTTGGATTGGGTGAGTTGTCAGCTTTGGGCTGTCTTTGTAAGGGGACTTCATGAAGCAGTGCAGTGAACAGAGTGGTTTCAGTTGAAGAGCTACATGCTTGTAACTCATTTGGAACTTGGATTGGCAATTGGTGCAATTACATGGGTAGTGTTATTCTTGTAGTTAATAGTCCAGTAACGAATGTAGCAAAGTTAGATTAATGTTAATCTGGTTTTGTTTCCATTACACTGTGTATTTTGAAAAATTATGAAGTGTCACTATGTCATTTACAGGATTGTGGACAACATGCCTGTGACGTGGTGTTATGATGTGGAAGATGGCCAGAGGTTCTGTAATCCTGGTTTTCCTATTGGCTGTTATATTACAGAAGATGGCCGTCCAAAAGATGCCTGTGTTATTAATGTATGTTTATGCAATTACATATTTTTTAATATCCCCTTTTTACTAATTTAGAGACTAGCATTTCTCCTGTGTCAGTTTCTATGGTGAGTCCTTGCTGTTTTAAGAACCCATGTTGCCTAAAAAGTGTTTTTGTCTGCAAGTACCTCAATTTGAAAGCCCAATCTAAGCCTAAGAGCCTTGTCTCTTACGTTGCATAGTACAGAAGGGCCCTAAAAGATCAAGGGATCAACATGCATAGCATTTAGTACATGTGGAGGGTAAAGGTGAAGGAAAGTATCTCATCCTTCATTGCCTAAGAAATTGAAACGTTTGAAGGCTTGGACTTTACATTTTTGTGGGATACAAGTGTTTTAGCAGCAGCAGATTTGCATAGGTGTGTTTGTACCTCCGTATACTTTTCGAAGGTTTACTTTCCCTAAAACTGGGAGCTGGTGGAAAAAGACATAAGATTTCTGCATGAGCAAAGATTGGATAGATGATACAGTGGTGGAGTTCCAGATGAGTGAAAGCGTTATGGAGCTAAGAATACAACAGCAAGTCCAGGAAGTCTTCAGACTACCACAGGCCTCTTCCACGGCAAGGCCACTGAAAACTTGGAATAGGTTTTTGGGTTTTCTCAAAGTGGTTGGTTTTACTTAATAGATCTTACCAAAGATAACAGTTTCTGTGGTTGCCACTTTTGTTTAATTGCCTCCATAATGAGTTGGTTTCAGGGGCTCCATAGGAATGGATGCATTTATGATCAAATATGTAGTCTGGCAATATTACTTTAATCTTATTTTAATACTTGCTTTTAATAAAAGAAAAATAACCTTTGAAGGGGTAACTAATATACTGTAGAAGAACACTTCATTTGTGTAACTATTATTAGCATGTTTCATTTATGTAACTATTCTTACAATTGGGGATTCTCTATAGAAAGGGTGAAGATAGAGTCCTTAAGAGTTGCTAACTGAACTTCAGTAGACATAGCTGGTAAATTATGTGAGAGTTTAACAGCCTCTTTAACTGACTAAATTCCAAGGTGATGTTTCTCTTCATCTGAGGTTTGCATTCAGCATTCTTGGCTGCTGCTTGCTGCTCGTCCTTGTGCATCTTTGGTTTCAAAGGTGGTTCTGTCACAGGGGGCATTTATTTGCATTATTTGTCTTGGGAGGTTCTGTTTAATTTCTGAAAAATATACTTATTGTTTTAAAATAGCTGATGTTTATGAAATGTTTCTGATAACAAAAGTTGTCACATAGTTATCTATTCCGTTTGCTACTTAAATAAAATAGGACATCTTCAGTTGGAGAAATTTATTAATATATATATAATACTTTAAATTATTTTTTCTACTTTTCAATTGTACTAGACTGTTCTTAGCATTAACTTTTCTAACTTGTGTTTTTAATGCAAGAAAGCACTTACTGGCTTTATAATTGCCAGTATCTCACATTCATATTTTAGGAGAAATTCTTGACAGAAAAACTGTATGCAGTCTAAAATTCTGTTATGCAGGCTTCTGTCTAAGGCTTTGAGATGTCTATATTTTTTGATTGTTTAATAAAACCTTTTTTCATTGTAGTCAGAATTTCATGAAAAAGATACCTTTTATATTTTCAACCACGTTGACATAAAAATATATTACCATGTTGTGGAAAATGAAGCTCTGGGAGCAAGACTAGTTGCTGCTAAACTTGAACCAAAAAGGTTAGTATTAGAAGGTAACTTGTCATCCAAAAGTGATCCATCCCAAGACAATTGATTTGATGTGGGAGGCTGCTGCTAGTCAGAAATGCTTTCAGATATGTCACCTGTAGATTACCTTGCCTGTTGATTGATACAGTGTAGTTAGGACAGTCTAATGTCATTTTGTTCTGAATTTGATGGACCTTGGTGCACTTTTTCCTATTTGGACCAAGAAAAGATAAAACCTGCAAGTGTTTGTGGGGTGTGATGAGAGTGTGTGTGCATGATGTAGAACCCTAATTTCCCTACCAGGGAATATTCTGTCTTGTATCAGAATAGGCAACCAGTGCGTGGTGCAGGCTTGAATGGAGTGCAAGATTTGATGTACTCAACAATTAAAATTTGAATAGAAAAATTTCACAGATACACACATCAGTTGTTCTGGTGTCTGTGTGGCTTTTGCACAACAGTGTCTGTGGTATTATTTCTTAGCATCTTACCTTTCATGGTATAACTGAGCTTGTTGGATCTTAGTTCAGTTGAAAGTATTTTTTTCAGATAGAAGTTAGTAATTCTGGTGGTGTAACTTTAAGTGTTTTGGAGATTCATAGCAATACTAAGACTTCTTTCATTTTTGGTACTCTGCTTTAGACACTGTGCTCTTTTTAGATGAGACAAATCTTGTTTAAGAAGTTCCAAGTTTCAAAAACTCCTTAGGATGTATTCTTTGAATTCTGAAATTTGAAACATTAAGTACAATTCTTATATTTAAGGGAAGAATACTTGGTATGCTTTTCTAAGATGAATAAATTCTTTCTTAAGAATGTTATCAGTGAAGTGGCTTTAATTCTGTGTCTTTTTTTCCCTCAGTTACAAGCATACTCATGCAGACAACCCCGACTGCTCAGGAGTACCTATGGATATAAGTAATAAGGCTAGTGGAGAAGTCAAAATTGCATACACATACTCAGTTACTTTTCACGTGAGTACTAAGATTTCTGTGGTAGTTACCTCTTAAAATCATTCATTAATACTCTGAATTATAAAGATGGACAATTAAAATTAGCTCAGAATAGTAAATTTGTAGTTTTAAAACTTTATTTGAACTGGAATGTCAGAGGTGGATTGGGATTTAACCACATACATTACAGTTTTGCATACCAACACACACAGAGTGGATATGAAACGTATGTGGTTTTTAAAAGAGTCAAACTTTCCACATCTGCCTAGGTTGTCTGGGAGATTATTTTTCAATCCAAGTTCTTGAGTCTGAGAAATTGTGTGTTTCAACGAATTAATGTTGTAGGTTGAAGCTGATCGATTTCTGCCCTCCTGCTGCAAAAGTTGCCTTCTCTCCAAGGTCTTCCTCCCATGGAAACCTGCAGAAGAGTAGGAAGCTGGTAGTCTTTGTTCTACTACTCACTATTTAAAAGCAGAGGAGCAGTATATCTGGCAACTGCAGGCAGCAGTGATAGCTATATATCTCTCATTCTGCTAACAAGAGAGGGAGGCTTTGTTTTGTTTTTCTGTAAATGGAGTTTGCTGGACAAACTGGTGTTATCAAAGTTTCTTATTCCTTCTCAAACTGTTTCCGTGTTACTCTGAGTTCAAAATAGAATAAATAATATAAGAAACATACTCAGGAGGGATTGTACTATGTATATACTATATAATTATATTTTGAGAAATTATATCAGTTATGGTGCTGAAATCAATTTGTATACTGAAAAGCAAGTATTTCTGGAAACCTGTGATAAGTTAGTATTTAAGAGTGACCTCAGCTTCATATTATTTTGTTGTTTGTCCTCAAAAATGACATGCCCAGCTGTGCAACTGTCTTGTGCACAGTGTTACGTCAATTGGAGGTAATCTTCTGAATTTCCATTGGGTTGGCAGACAGGTCATCTCAGGAAGATAAAAAAAAAAGGTAGTTTAGGTATGAGGAAAAATGCAGTTCTGTCCTAGAGTCATTGGTACTAGTTTAGAAATTGGTTGCTTGCTTTGAGACATGGTTTTGTTATCTCATTGAACTAGATATATGATCTTGACTAAATTTTTTCACCCACTGCTTTTTTCAAAGCCTGGCTTTACTGGAAAGCACTCTTGCTCTTGTATGTTATAAATTACTGAAATAACAGCCTGTCAATTTTAGCCAATTTTATTAATCGATAGTAGTGTTTATGGTTTATTTAATAGCAATGTTCACCTTAACTAGCACTGTCTATTCCTTTATTTCCTGTTTACTCTGCAAAAGAAAAAATAATGTTGTTTTTGAAGTGTTTCTGATCAATTAATGTTCATTTTGAATAAGTTTAATCTGTTGAAATGCCTGGAGAAATAATGTACTTCCCTCTACTAACAGTGTAAGTTCTACAGTATTGTCTCCCCACCTGTCCTGCAGTAAAAGCTGTTTGTAATGGGATTGGTAGTTGGTACTGAAATGAGGTTGTATGAAAGCAAAGGATAATTTAGACAGAGCATGATCTAGAGAGTGAAGTATTATGCTGGAGACTGTATAGCATAGCTTAGTTTCTCGATATATGGACTTACATGTGCTAAAAAATTCTTTCATTATTCTGTGAGTCCATTCCAGATGAACTAATACAGTTCTTGAAGGGAGGATGCACAATTGAATTAATTTGGTAAGCCTTAATGTCTTAAGAAGACACAGGTGCTCAAATTCAGAAAATATTTTGGTTTACATTCTATGGTTAAATCTTACATTTGTTCTAGGTAGCTCTTATTAAACTGTTCCCTGTAAGGTATGGAACTTGAAATTTCAGTTAGTCACGAGATTTAAGATTGCTTTGCACGAACATCAACTTTCAAATGTATGAGTTGGGTACTGACTGTATCTGAAGTTCATGTGTTTACTCTTTCAGGAAGAAAAAAGTATCAGGTGGGCATCAAGATGGGATTATATTTTGGAATCCATGCCTCACACTCACATCCAGTGGTTTAGGTAAGAAAGAAGTTTATTGTACTGAAGCGTTCACGTTGCAGTTTAAATTATGATTTTCATTTATTTTCTTTTTTTTTCTTTTCAGTATTATGAATTCCCTGGTGATTGTTCTCTTTCTGTCTGGAATGGTAGCTATGATTATGTTGAGGACACTGCATAAAGATATTGCAAGATACAATCAGATGGATTCCACTGTAAGTCTAAAATATAACTCCTAAGATTTATTTGCAATGTATTTTTTTCAGTTATATGTGTAGTTGTAACAGGCTATTTAAGTTGCATCTACTGTATTAAAATAGATGTATTTCTTTCACAGGAAGATGCTCAAGAAGAATTTGGCTGGAAGCTGGTTCATGGTGATATTTTCAGGCCTCCAAGAAAAGGAATGCTGTTGTCAGTTTTTCTAGGCTCTGGCACACAAATCTTAATAATGACTTTTGTTACCCTGTGTAAGTAAAGTGGGGAGGATTTAGTTGACTGCACATGATTTTTCCCTGCTAACTGCATGGTGCTAGTAAAAATAGCAGTACAGTTTTTTCTAGAAATTTCATAAAAGTCATTAGAAACAGCTGAGCTGATGTAGTAGACATGCAACTTAGTATGCACAGATTTTAAGATAACTGATATGCTGGCTTTAAATCAAACATATAGTCTAAGGTTTCTAATCTAATTTCTAAAATTGTGCATCTCTGCTTCACAGTTTTTGCTTGCCTGGGATTTTTGTCACCTGCTAACAGGGGAGCTCTAATGACCTGTGCTGTAGTTCTGTGGGTACTGCTTGGAACTCCAGCTGGTTATGTTGCTGCCAGATTCTACAAATGTGAGTAATAGTTACTGAAAATGACAATTCTTAAGTTCATTAATGTAAATTATCACTGCAGAACTGATTTTTATTTTTGCTGCACTGTTTGTAGCTTCCCTCAAGGCAACTTGGAGAAATGTACTTACCTTAACAACAGAAAATAGATACAGAGCACTTAACATAGTTACACTGTTTTTGATGTAATCATGCCTAAAGGCCCTGAATTGCTCTTGCTGCTGTGTATTTGTGAAATTAAACAGTATTAGTACTAGGGTCATTACATCATTACATCAGAGGTTTTCTGCTTCTGTTTCCTATCACTGCGGGGACAGTGTAAACCTGCGTTTAGTTTTAGCCGTGGATGTTTCCTTGGCAACACACACCTGCACCCCCAGATTGGGAACCTCAGTTCTTGCATGCCTGAGATTTGTGACCTCTTTTTAGCTAGCTCCCAGGCTTTTTGGAGAACAATGCTCATTGGACTGTGGCTGGAGCACAGGGAGAAGGATTGTTAAGTGTTCTGTAGTTGTAAAAACCAACCCCATGGTGTTTGTGCCCCTGACAGGAGTCAGTCAGTCCCTTACTGATCCCAGCTATTGATGCAAGACCTGTCTGTCTACCAGCTCAAATGGTTTACCCCTTTATCCTCTGATTTATTTTAAGGTGAAGCATGGAATTCCACATTAATTACCTTACTCAAGGTGAAATGTTTTTTGACTGAGAGAGATAGATCTTTTGGACTACTTTAGTTGTGAATATAGGGGGCTAGAGAAGTTAATTTCAGAACTTCAGCTTGGCAGTAGATATTGGAGTTCTTCTTCTAAATATCTTGTAATTTTCATGTGGGGAAAACCACGTGTAGGAAGAATGAGTTTGTATTTTGTTGGGAGTTTTTACATAGTGGTGGTGACATGATAGTAAAGTATTCTTAATATCCAAGCCAGTTAGACTTAAATGGAAGGAAATTTTAGTATTAAGAACATTATTGAGGATAGAATTATTCTTTATATTGTGGTATATAGTGTGTATTTTAAAGGCTATTTTGAAGTGTATTGATGGCAAATTGAATCTTGTGTCTTTGGTGGAAATGTAGTTATTAATGATTAAATTTCAGATTTTATTTACTGGGAATCACTTAATTGATACTTGAATGTTTTTTTGAATTACTAAGACAGTGAATGACTAATCCAGAGATATTTTTGTTATAACAGGAAGTGGTTTATACTCTTAGAGATGTAAACATGATTTTTTTTTTAATAGTATACAAATAAAGTAATGTGAGACAAAACAAAATGCAACTGAAATGGATATCCAATTTTAAAAGTTGGGGTATTTTTTTTCAAAATTGCATTTAAAAAGTTAGTTGAAATTAAATGGTTAATCTTAATAACTGCTGTCACGTTCTACCAAGTTTTTATGAAGAAATAGAAACTTAATTAAAATCACTCTAACCATAATCACTTCTGACTTGAAATAAAGAAGCATGTCATTATGGCAGTGCTCAGATGAAATTATCAGCTTCACTGCACTCCAGCAGGATATTTTCATTTGAAAGTATACTGACTAGAATTTTTATCAGCACAGTGCAAATTCATAAAGATTTTCTTAATAAAGCTATCTTTGGTCTTTTGGTATCACCACTGCTTAATGCTGTTAAGACTCAAGAAAAATATCACTACTTCTGTAAGTGTGTAGTTCTGACTCTTCTCTAAGATTCATAGGCAAGACTTATTTCAAGAAAACTGTTAAGCTTGGTTTTCACATATTTATGTGTCTTTACCTACTGAAACCTGCAGTCACATGCTAGAAAGCTTAATTTTCTTAATCACTTCAGGTTTTAAGTATTTTTAAAGATTTAGAAATACTGCAAATCTGCTCCCTCCTTTTAGTAGATAAAGTAGCCAAAGACACAGTTTTAGTTGGATATCTCTCCTGACCTTGGTCTGAGACGTTTTGCTTTGAAGTTCTGTGGTTAAGCAATAGGATAAGGAAATCTAATTTTATTACTGAATATTTAGTTTACTGTTTTAAATTTGGCATGATAGCACATTATTTGAGTATTTGCAAGCTAAGTATAATGGGTAAATGGACTGGAAAATTAATAGTTGAGCTTAATGCATGTGTTAATGTCTGTCAAATGTTTTAATATACAGCATTTGGAGGTGAGAAATGGAAAACAAATGTCCTGCTGACATCATTCCTTTGTCCTGGGTAAGTTGAGAATATTGCCACGATTAAGAGAATTAAATTGCTTCTCTGATACGCATAGCTAATTTTTTAAGTTTCAGCTATACAAGTAAATCTTAGATTGTCCCTTTATTCTGAAAGCTACAAGAGTATCATGGTGCTTTTGACAAAGATGAGTATGTTAGTGACATATTATCCTTAGATTTTTTTTTTTTTTTTTGGTAAGCATTTGTTTACTCTCAGCACATGAAAAGGTTGACTAGGAAAAAGCATTATGATAGTGGCAAGTTTTAGGCCTGCTTTCATTGTCTTTTTATTCTCTGGACTGTTTCTCTGACCACACTGTAGTCAGTCTTACATAGTGTCATATAATGTATAACCACTCTGATACTTTTTTCCACTTAATCACAGCAAGCAGTCTTACCCTGAAGTGTAGTTAAGACAAGCTTATATTTGAAATAGCTTAGTTGGAACGTCAGCGCCTGCTGGAGTTCAGTCCCACTAGATTAACAAAGAATTGCTTGTCTGACCTCTTTGTTCTCATATTTTGTGTGTGTCATTTGGTTTTAGCAGAGATTCGCACTTAAATCTTAAAACGATGCCATTGTTTTGTCAATGTTACTAAATGTTAAGAAATATTTCTGTGCTCTAAGTGTGCTGTGTGTTTTTCAGAATTGTATTTGCAGATTTTTTTATCATGAACCTCATTCTCTGGGGAGAAGGCTCTTCAGCAGCTATTCCGTTTGGTACTTTGGTTGCTATTTTGGCACTCTGGTTTTGCATATCTGTACCACTGACGTTTATTGGTGCCTATTTTGGGTTTAAAAAAAACGTAAGTGTTTCTGAGAAGTTGTTTTTTAAAGTGTATACATGCATAAACACACACAAATGTTTTTCTCTGTATAGGCCATAACTGAGGTAGCACCTAAGCTAGTTGCACTGTTGGCTCCAGTTCTGTTCAGTTACTTTAGAACTACATTAGTAGTTATAGTACATTTAGTAGTACATTTAGAACTACATTGGTATTCCAGGGCTGTGACACATGGTTGGTGGCAGTGATACTTCTCTGCAGCAATTTGGGTTATCTTTGTATTTAACTGAGTGACTGCTACAGATAAATCAGTGATTTCAGCATTTTTATTTTAATTAGCATCTTTTTCATATATTAAAACAAGTACTTGACTCAGCAAGCATAAGGGAAAGCAAATTTTGTATTTCTGGGTTTCGTCATGTATTTCTTTTTTCTGTCTGCCCTCTACGCTGAGGATGTTACCTGATCAGATTGCGGAAGTTCTGTGAAATCTGTTTGCATTTACCAGTTCTGTAAATGGTTTTCTCTGCTTGGCAGACATTAATTGTGATTTACTCCTAAATCAATCAATTTTGCATATTTTTATGAGGGCTCCTTGTGACCAAACATTTCATAATTTGGTGACCAAATCATTAAATAATGAGATTGGTTCTTTTTTTTTTTTTTTTTCCTTAAAAAACAGTTTACTATCCCCCACAAATAAACTTCTGTAAGTGCAGATAAATTTGTGGGGTTTTTGCTGCATAGGAAGCCAGGATTCCATCTCTCTGTAGATCTCCTTCAGAGATTATTGTTTTAGTAGGCACTTTTTAAGTCAGTCATGCAGTTATCCTGTTTTTCTTAACCAGAATTCAATGGGTTTTTCCTGATAACCATGTTGAAATTCTGTCAAGTTCCCCTGCATTATACAGTTGTGTACATCTTCTTTTAAGGAAGGAAGATTTGATACACTAATAAGGTAATGTGGTAGGTGTCACAAAAACTTGAAAATCAAATCAGAAAGAAAGTATCTATTGATGCTTTTGATATAATCTTTATGAAAGGGGAAAGATGCAAAGAATGCATGTGTCTTACAGTGCCTTACATTGTTTTCTCCCAACATGCTGATCCATGCATGTATCTTGAATTAGGATTAAATTGCCAGATTGAGTCCTTTTAGTAAGTTTACCCTAATGTGATTCTTGAAGTAAATCCTGAAAAACAACATGGAGGAATTTTTGTGAGGTGAAAACAGGAGTCTGCACCACCATTACTCCAGCTGAAATGTGGTAAATCAGCTCAGGATCTGTAACAGATGATAGCTAGGCAAGCATTAAAAGGGAAATCCAAAATATCTGTCATTGTGTTTTCAGTAAGAGCAAGTTTGTCAAGCAAGTGTTGGTAACTGCACTGGATGCAAAAGCAAATGTAGTGTAGCTGGGTATGCTCAAAACAAGGAGTAGACTTTTTGCTACCACTCATTATAAAAAGAAAGCAAAAAGGTTTGACATTTTATTTATTTAATTGTTTGTTATTTTTATTTAAAGGCTATTGAACACCCTGTTCGCACAAACCAAATTCCACGTCAGATTCCTGAGCAATCATTCTATACAAAGCCATTACCTGGCATTATCATGGGAGGGATTCTTCCTTTTGGATGTATCTTTATACAGTTGTTCTTTATTCTCAATAGTATTTGGTAAGTTCACCATAAATTGAATTTTCTCTGTCTTAAAAATTGGTAATTTCTTTGTGAAAGTTTTTCTTCAAGATCCTTTGCCTGATTTTTTTGAGGATGCAGGGTTACCATACTGGTTCAATACAACTTAAATGTTAACATCAATTTAATACTTTGTTGTTTCCAAGATACTCAGTGCCTGTTGTGCTTGTTGGGGTGTACAGACAGGTGGCTATGATATGCTTAGCAATCTGCAGATGACCTACCTTCAGACAGTTTGTTGTTTCTTATGCTACTTTTCTGACTTCGTGGAAGTGGCTCTGAAGCTGATATATGGCATATAACTTGACAGTAGTAAAGTTTATTAAAATAAACCTGAGATTTTTTTTGTAGTTGTTACTAGGCGAGAAAAGTATTACTACTCTGGGGAGGAAAAAAAAGAACCAACAGCAAATTCTTGTGAAATTTTTATTAAAAATAACAAGAGTAATTATTTTTAAAAATAAAGCACCATAGACTACTCCAGTAGAAATGAATTTTGATGTGAGCTCACTGACAAACTAATCTACTGTGAGGAATTTGTCTTCCTTCTGGCACAATTTAGTTATTGGATCTTGTTAAACTGTGTCTGAACCTTGAATAGGTGCCTCTACCCAACAGACAGCTACAGCATTTGACATTTCTTATTATTTTGGAGTTCTGCCCCTTTGATTGAAATGTGAGGTGAAATCCAGGTTCTGCTGAAGTCAGTGGAAGAGGTCATGATGACTTCACTGGAACTGTGGTTTCACCATTATGTTTAGTCATTTCTTTCTCTAAAATCCCAACCAGGGGCATGCTTTGGCCTTGCTTTCTCAGTGTTCTCAGACTGAGCTGCCAAGGTTCCTATTCTTTAGTTAGAAAATAAATTAGTCAATTGTATGGCTGCACAATTGACAGTATTTCAATAGGAAAGGGAAATACTTAGGGTGAAGGTGATGTTACTACATATGAGGAAATAATAATATCACAATGGCCATTTAAATTTTTTTTTAACTCCCTTTTATAGGTCCCACCAGATGTATTACATGTTTGGCTTCCTGTTTCTGGTGTTCATTATTTTGGTTATTACCTGTTCTGAGGCTACAATATTGCTCTGCTACTTCCATCTATGTGCAGAGGTAGGAAATATTTCAAACCTGATCATGTTCTAAGAATGCTTAAAAAAATGTTAATACTTTTGTAATTGAAAAGAAGTATTGCAGAATTCAACATGAACACTAGTGCTAGACGAGATGTACTTAAACCGTGTCTTTAAAAAGTGAAGCAGACCACTTTTGGCAAAACTTGTAAGACTATACTAAAACCCTGCACTGGGTATTGCTGAGTCAGATATCACATCTTTAGATTCTCACTCCCTGTTTTCTGAAGGTGCTAAATTAATCCATTAATTTTGTTCAATCAGAGTGTATTTTGGACATGCCCAACCTTGGGGAAAAAATCTCTATGGCTGGAAATAAGTACATCTGGCTTATTTGGGGTTTTAGGATTTTGTGTATTTGCTATTGATCTTTAGGTAACTTATCTCTAATTTTGAATGGTGTAATTAAAGCGGTATTGATTATATATAGTTCTTCTCCCTCTAGATAAAAACCCTACAAAAACTTACTTTTGGATAAAGTAATAGAGAAAATAGCTCTGCATTTACTAGTAGGGTCAGTGGACTAGAGGTGTGTGCAATATTTCTCACACATATGTATTTTTTCTTCACTCTTTCTAGGACTATCACTGGCAGTGGCGTTCATTTCTCACTAGTGGCTTCACTGCAGTTTATTTCCTAATATATGCAATACATTATTTCTTTTCTAAACTGCAAATCACAGGAACAGCTAGCACCATTTTATATTTCGGTTATACTATGATTATGGTTTTGATCTTCTTCCTTTTCACAGGTAAGTGTATTGAACTTCAGTTTTAAATTTTGAATCTGCCCTTAGTTTTGCACAGTAAAATCCTTGGCAAAACTGATCTTGATACAGAATTATAAATTTATGTATGCCTCTTGATTTTTTTCCAGGTGTAGCATATTGCAACTATGTGATTACAAATTTTAATAAAAGAGATAAGTGAGGATGAGGCAAAACTACTGCTAATTTGAGGTGTGGCCTCTAATTAGGTCTACAAATTACGTGATGAATACTTTTCCAGATTTCATTCTTATGATAGTCATATGACAAACTCAGTCTTTAAAATTAGTTGTCTTTGGAGAAGCACACCACACACAATCAAGTATAATGTTTCAGTGTCATGATAAAAACTGCAGATTTTATGGAATAGCTGGAAGGAAGAGAGAGGAGGAAAAGTTGACAAAGAATACCTTTTTTTTTTTATTTGCTCTTTTCCAGAATGTATTTACCTTTATCCCAATTGCATTGAAGTGGTGTGGGAAGCAGACAGAATTTCTCTAACATTTTTTATATCAGTCTTGTTAGAAACTTGTAATCTTCATTGTGAGCGTTTGGAAAAAAACATGTCTTAGGTGCTGCATTTCAATTTCCTCTTCAGTAATTGAGATGAGGTCACAAAATCTTCCATTGTAGTCTTCAGTCAGACAGAAATAGCCCTTGTTTAAGGTGGAAAAATGGCAGTGAAAATGCAAGAAGTCTCTTTTCAAACTGATGCAAGAAGGCAGCAACCGCCAACTCCTCAAAAAAATCTTTAAAATTCTGTATTTTGCTCCAGCAGAATGCATTCCATCCTTGTATACTGTACCTTAGAGCAGTACTTCTGAAGCTACTTTGAACTGATCCATGGTTTAAATAATTTCAGGCGTTGTGTTAATGACTTTTAATGATTCCAAAGGCTTGGATATGTGTTGATGTATAGACGCTATCTTTTGAGGCCTCCTAGACTACAAACAGCTTGTCATCAGAGGTTCTAATACAAATCTCACTATGACTATTAAGTAGAATTTTCATTTCCACGTAATATAGGAGAACAAAAATAGTAAAAAAGAGAAAAGAACTAAGAATGGTGTTCACTTTAAGTGTAACCGAATATTTCAAAGACATTTCTACTTCAGCTAAGGAAATACTGAAGCTGTTTGCGCACTATGACTGAATGCAGATGATGATGAACGGGAGCAATGGCCTGCAAGGATTTACTTGGGTCATTGCCTGTTAAAAGGAAGAACTGGGACTTGAGAGCATTATATAATCTCAATGAAAAGTGATCAAGCTGTGTCCCAAAAGTGGTCAATTTTATCTTCCGTCCTTTGTTTTAAGTCAGTCTAATGTGTTTTGGCATTGCTTGCAGATAGTTTGTAATTTATACAGCTCTACTTTTATTCACATTTCTGTACTAGCCTACAAGACTTTCTGAATGCATAGATCAGAGATTCTACCTCCCTTGCTCACTTTTTCTTCTTCTTCACCCTGCTTCTCTCTTAACATTTACTTCTGGTTTGGGTGTACTGATAGTTTCATCAAACTAAAAAATCCTAGGATGTGTAGTTGTTCAACTAGAAATGAATGTGTACTGCTGTATGCAGATTGATTTTAAAAGCAGTGCAAACTTACAAAGTAGTATGAAAAATAATTAGGCCTTACATAAGTGTAAGGTCAATTAATTTAGTTTCACCAGCTTTTCCAACAGATGTTCAGCAAGTCTACCTGTAATAGTAAACAGTTTTGCCCAAAACCAGAATTGTGTTTACCCTGTCTCCCTTGTTCACTCTGTTTATGTTGGATGCATGCACTAATTCTGAAGTGGATTCATTCAAGATAAAGGGGATTTGCAAAAATTTTTTATGCTGAGACATGGTTTAGCTGCCTTTTTGCATCTCAGATACCCATATAATTTCCATCTTTTGCCCTTATTCTTTCAAGTCAGTCATGTCACATGACATTGTCTAGAGGCATTAAGATGTGTCCACTGCATCCCCTTTTTCCTTTGCTCACATGTTCACTTTGAGTTGGTCAAGTGGCCGTGCAGCACCTGCCAGCAAATTTTTAGGGTAGGTTCACAAGCATGCAAAGAAGAGGTGGTTTCTTCTCAGCCCCTTTCAGTTGCTTTTTGTGGCAGTTATGTTTGTAATTGGGAAAGTGGAAATGCAAGTCATCCTGTGCAACTAGAACTAAGTTTTCAGATTCTGTATGCTCTTGGTTTTTTTAAATTTTCAGTTTCTTTGTTGGAATCAGGGGAGGATACACACGAAGTTAATCACACAGAATTCCAAAACACTGTGTGCTTAATGACTTTTTTTATCTACTTCCCAAAAGATTAAGTGCAAATTACCTTTTAATTTGGGGAAATAATCCTGTTTCTTAAGATTTAAGAAGAATTTTGTCCATTTAGGTTGATATGAATGTAAAAGTAGATTATGTTCAGTTCTCTGAGATTTACTGAAGTGCTCTGAGATAAGAATTTACAGAAGAAATCAGAGGTAGGGTAAAGGGACAGGCAGTTTTCCATTTTTTTAAACAAAATAATGTATTAGCAATTTAGTAAAAACTGTTCCCAAAGGCAACTGACTTCCCATGTCAGGATGATAAGAAAGCTAAAAAGAAAAAGTCATAATTGTTGTATGAAAACTATTCTGCTGCTGCTTACTCATCTGTGAAAAATTGTCAGGATCAGGAGGAAGGGTTTTGACGGTGCCCTGCTGCTGTGTCGGTGTAACACATGCTTCAGGCACTTGCATCCATACTGCATTCCAGGTCATTGATCAGACTCAGCAGGCAGAATACCGAGAGCTACATGACAAATCTTTGATTCACAGCTGGGATCACAACTACGTATCACAGTAAATGAGTCCCTTAAACATCAGTAGTTTAGCAAGCGTAAAGTGAAAAAAAATGACCATGATATGATTCATGGTTCCTTTCAAGCTTTTCTAGAGAACAAGTTACCACACAACTTTTGTTGTCCCTCTTACCAGATCTAAAACGAAGCTTTTTACCCTCTAAAGAACCTCCTTGACGCTTGTATAAGTTAAGGATATGATTTTAGAAGAGGTACTTAGGCAAAAATCAGATAATCTTCAGGGGTTTTTTCCTGTCCTAGTTTTTGTGGGAAATTAAGGTTCCTGTAACAGGTGTTCTGAGCTGCTGTTTAATCCAATATAATTCTGATTGAGACTGAATTTTGATGTAATCCAGTTAGATTAACAAAGCTCAACTATATTAACTATTTCACGTTCAAAATAATATTTTTGTTAAAAAGTTTTTTTCGGAGTTACACAAAGAGAAGAGATGAAACCCTTTTTATTCTGCTAGAAGGATGATAAGTTATCAGGGAAATGGTCTTCATCCTTCAATTTTAGTTCGTCTGTATGTACTTTTTGACTGTCCTAAGTATTTCAGAAGTGTATATTTTTAAGGTATGTAACACACGTTTTCAGTAGGACTGCAAGTTGTGTAGTAACTACACTATAATTTGTTTTAACTCAGTCTATGGAGAAATAAAGGTAATGCTCTAGTTTTCCAAGACCTTAAAATATTGCTAAGTAATGAGAACTCTGATGCTGTTACTGTATTTATTGAACATAATAATATTCTGACTGAGCAGATCAGATAGTGTGTTTGAGTAGTCACTGAGAAAAGGTGAAATGGAGCAGTGTGAAGGAGTGAGACTGCAGAATACTGGAACAACAAGAACAAAATGTAAGACAGATAACACAGAAACATCTTACAACTAGAGTCTTCCACATGATCTGTTCTATGTTCCTGAAAATAATGACATGGTTGATGAGTAGTTGATGCCTGCAAGGACCAGGTACTGTCTGTAACTTTCCATTATCTTATCTGATTGATGTACTGAAGGCTAAGGACAGCAGATCACATATACATACATCCTGACTTATAAACTATGGATAGAAATTAATGTCTCCTGTGTCAGTGTTCTAACATGTCATTATTTTTTTTCTCTTTTAGGGACAATTGGATTCTTTGCATGCTTTTGGTTTGTAACCAAAATATACAGCGTAGTGAAAGTCGACTGAAGAAACCAATGTAAAGAGTTAACACAGAAGAGGTTTAATCTTCATTAACATAACTTAAAAATCTGGTCTCGTTGATGAACTTGAGCTTTATCAGAAGTATTGGCTTCCTGTTCTTTGAGAATGATACTGAAATACATCTACTTTTCCACTAACACGTTTGTACAACCTATTTTCATTCAAACCTTAAATGAAGATCAGAGTTACGATATTTATGCGTTTGTAAATACAACTATACTTTAAAAGAAATGTTAAATTCTAATGGCAAAATAGAAGTGGCTGTATTACACAACTTAATGATACTTCTGATAAAAGTACAACTGTAAATAGTTTTTCTAGCTTGGTAGGTGGGATGAATTATTTTTCTTTGAGGGAAATGAGAACTTTTTATTATGCTAACTTTGAAGGATGACTCTTAAGAAGTGTTGCTTTTAGTCTGGATGTGATTTTTATTTTTTACTGGTGTTACGTCCATAAATATTCTGATTTCTGTGACTTAATTAGTTTTGGTGTTCTTGGCCTTTTAAACTATGTGCCTCTGAGTCCTTGAATTTATAAATTCATAATCTAATAAACGTTGTAAAAACGTCTTCATTGACTTATTACATATTACAAGTTCATAAAAATATGTAAATACAGTTATATTGAAGACAGATGCTTAAAGATTGCATAGAGTACTTTATGGCATTATCTATGGTTTAATGTATATTGACACACATTTAGATCTGCAAGAATTATTATTTGTGCTAAATGGTTATAACATGGACATGTGATTGTGGTGCATGAGAACTAAATTACACACACATTTAACAAAACCACTCTGCAGCATTAATCCAGTCCTTAACCCAGAGACATTTCCAGAGATTGCTATGGAGTTGTCCTTATGTTGAGAAGATCTTACAATGCATGAATCGGCATTTTCTGCTGATCTTGCTTTTAGATCTCAATGATGCATATTCTATAGAGCAGCTATTGCTGACTGTACTTAATGTAGGTTAAAAAATAAAAGAAAATTACTATTTTTGCCTTATATTAAGAGACAAATGTCAATTTTGGATGACTGGCATTAAACCTTTATTTGCCTTTTTTTGGAAATGGAGTGTTTTGTTCAAACCTTGTTTGGTAGTTTTAGACTCATAATACAATTTGGCTGGTAAAATTTTATTTAAAATTAAACTTCATGTACCAATTGCCATTTATAAGGTTGGGGGGTTTTATTTTTACCAGTTTACTTTTCTAAAGGACCTTAACCTGACAGTGCTTGAATATTGGACCAAATAAAAATATCCTTGGTTAAGGTAACTTGTCATTATTAAAATCCCAGAAGTTGGCACATCAAGGCTTCAGGAGGCATTCCCACAATTGCTGTGCTCCACAAGCCTTTCCGGATGAACCACGGCATTCATGCTCTGCCTGTCACCAGACACGGCTCTGCTCAGATGTGGACAGGTTTGCTCTTGTGCCCCTCCCAACACGCAGTCACTAGGAAATGCTGATTTTAGGTAAATCTTCCATGCTTTATGTTCAAAACAGGCAAAGGGTGAGTATGGTGTTTGCTCTTTACTACTGCAGTGAACTGTAGTGTGACTCTTGAGTCAAATGTTTAAAACTATAAAATTGAATAGTCTTCATATCCCTGGTTTTGTGATCACTTACTGTATAGTCACCGTCTGAAATCATCAGTAGTTTTTACACAAATAGGGATACTTAGTTTGAGAAACATGAATCAGTTGTCTGCTATTGAAATTCAAATTCAAAAAACCAGATTTTTGTGGTGTATTTACAATTGCTGTTTAAAAATCAGATTAATAGAAGGTAGATGAAGCCACTGTGGTCTCTATGTGGTTTGAAACTGACAGGTGTATTTTCCTGGGGTTTTTTTCTACAGATTAGTTGACAAATTGTGGCAGCTTCTCAAGTATTTTATTTCCAGCTTTAAAGGCAGTCTGTGAAATGTGTCATTATCTTTTGGAATTGGAACCTGCTGCATACACAGCTTTTTAAGCAGCCTTGCCTTGTAATAATTGCAGCTGTTTCACAATTGAAATGTTAAACTTTCAGTGTGGAATAACTGAGACAGTTCAGAAAGTTTAATACATCACATATTCTACAGAAGAGCTGTTCTAAAGTTGTTTTTGCCCTTGTAACACATTACTGCCTCAGATAATTTAAAATGTTTTTCTAGAATTTAGGCTTCTGGTGTGTGTTAGGCATCTAAGTGTTCTACTGTGTACTGTATCTGTCTTTCAGATCACTTGGGAGGCCCGTTTGTTTTGTCTAAACTTTCAGAATACTGAGCTTTTCCAAAATGTTACTGTGATTACCCAGTATTTTCTTAAATTTGCACTTAAAGCATGAATGTCTGAGAAAATGTAAATTAATAGGAGGGTTAATAGGTAGGGCAAATTGCAGAGCTGCAGGAAGACAGGACAAATTTGGACAAAACACTTCAGAGAAGCATCATTTTTTTGGTGGCTGATAAATAATTTTAAAACTTATTGTTCAGAGTCTGAAAAAAAGTAGCCATCACTGCTGACTTTAGCCTGAAAGGAATTCTTGGTCCAAATCATACGTGAAAACATGATATGGGAGTTGGTGTCCTGATTTTCTTTCTCCAGAAGCTTTATAGCAAGCTGTCACTCAGGGCAAGATCATTGGGTCATCTTTAGTCTGTAGCTTTCCTTCTTATTCAAAAGCTTGGCTGTGTTTGAACACCCACGAGAGTCCTCAGGTTTCTGCAGTCATACAGTTTGTGTGTGCCCTCAGCTTGGCTGGATCTTCTAAGCAATATCATAAATATCAGTTGACTGTGAAGCAGTCAGTGTCTTGATGCTTTTTGTGCCATTTTCACGCAAAAGGCTGTGAGAAATGACTTCAGGAAAAGTCTGGAAGTGAGGACGAGGTGAAACAGGACAAAATTCTGACAGGCACCTGAGGTGCTCAGTTACACTGATCTGAATATCTGTTTTGAAAGGCTGGGAGGCACCAACCAAGTCCTGTTTGAACTGATGTACAAATCAAAAAGGTGAAATGTGGATGTGAAATGTTTTGCTTATATTGGTCAAGGCAAAAATACCAATCTCTAAGTAGGCTGGACAACATATATATTTCAGGCAAGGTAGGGGAGAAGTGAGAGTCCCTGAAGGACTGGTTTTAGTGTATTTGACTTTGGTCAGCAGAGTGACATTGTGGCCAAATTTTTCTGCAAAGCTTTGTGCGAATGCTGGGGAGGGGCTGCTGCAGTGGTCCTGATGACATGGGTGTCATACAGAGTAAGTCAAAACTGAGGTTTCTCACTGCATTGTTACTTAGCTGATCGAGATCCTGAGTTTCACAAGTAATATGAGAAGTAAGTTCCATGAAATTTTGTAATGGAAGTATGGTAAATCTTTAAGAGCTGTAGATGTTTTTGTGTTTGATGATGGCTGATAAAGCACAGCACTGAGCATAGAATCACAGAATGGTAGAATAGTCCAATATGCTTTCTTTTTCCTTTTTGTTACTGTTTTTTGGGAGGTAGTTTTGGTTTTTTGTTGGGTTGTGGTTTTTTTTTTCTTTTTAATCGAGTGTTACTGTAGTGTTTGGTTTAGCAGAGTGTTTTATTTAGTGTTCCTGCTCCAGGAATTGAGCAAGAACTTTAGTAAGCTTAGCTGGTGTGGGAAACACATGAGTTTTTGACATGAGTTTTTGCTATGAAGTTACAGGCCATCCTCTTTCTGTTTGGGCATCTTTACCAGTTTGGACACCACCTTCATTTCCGGGGGCAGCTGTATCTCCAGCTCCAATAGCCCATCACAACTATGTATTTCCTTAAAGGAAAGGATCACTTGTGCAGAGATGTTCCTGTCTTGTCCCAGATATGCTGCTTCCTACAATTCACCTCTGATTTAATTTTTTTATTCTCAGTATCCTGCTCTTTCTCCTTATGTCAAACACTAGTAATCTATTTATTTCCATATCTCCATAAATATATATTCCTCAACAGACTCATGAAATATTTCTCCTGTTACCTTATAGAATGACTTCGGGTACATGTGCCTACAAAAGTTTATGACACTTCAGATTAAAGCAGAAACCTTCAGGGACTACTGAGAGCCTTAATTTATCAGTTGATTACTGTACAGCTGTCATCATGCACTATTTCTTCTTATGTGAAACACCTGGAACTTGCTGTTGATGAGATTAGAGTAGTTAACTGCTTGTAAATCAGATAAACCAGAAGATTACAAATGAAGCCTGTCAGGTTTGGGTGATGGCACATTCTTGCCACTTGCCAGGATTCCAGGACTTCCAATGCAAACGCAGTTGAAGTTCTCCCCTCTGAGGTATTTGAGCATCGCCTGCTAGCCATAGCACACACACAAGTACAGAGTGCAGGAGCAGAGGCAAGGGGGTGATAGGAAGGTTTGACCAAAGCAGTCTACTGGAGGGATTTAACATTAGATCTTTAAATATGTGTGATCCTAAATTTCTGGAAGTGCACGGCCAAAAATCTTGGCAAAGAACAGTAACAGTAATTACGCAAATAATTTCTCGGTGCTAACATTGTGTCTCCTACATGTAGTGTGGACATGCTGCTAGCAAGGGCCCACTAGAATTCACTGTGTTTTTAAAGCCATGCTTTATAAGGATTAATTGTCTTTACTCAGGAACCCATTCTGATATCTTCAAACAGTTTTTCTAAGTTCACTACAAAAGGCTACTTCAGATAGGGGCCCACAGGGTGTCCTGAGAGGTTGTCCAGCCTGGGCAGTGAGATGTGCAGGACATGACATGCCAGCTTCTGGAGTTCAGTGGTGCCAACACCTCGTTTTCAAACAATTCAGCACAGCCGCTGTTTTGCTGATGCTGCTGCAAGACTCAAGACTTGATGTGGCTTGTGTGGGTGGTCTGGTTGGGGTTTGGGGGTGGGGGGGAGCAGGGTTGTTTGGTGGGGTTTTGTTCAGGATTTGTTGAAGTGTTTTCAGTAATTATATCAAGCAATTTTGTCTCTTGGGGAAATTGTTCAAGTAGAGAAGATGGTATTCCTGATATTTTCCCATTTGCCCATGACTGTCTTTTGATTTGTTTATGATTACATTTGGTTGAGGTTTATGAAATCATTAAACTGACTTAGCTACATCATGTGAAGAAGGGAAATGTGCAACTGAGAAAAAAAGTGATGTCTCAGCAGGGCAGGCACATGCACAGTCCAGCCTCTGCTTGCCCTCTGTGTTGCAGAAGGTGAGCAAACTTCTCATTCTCTGGAGGTTGGTAAAGGCAGATAGGCTGTGTTCAGTTCCCACCTATTGCATGCACCAGTAATTAGTTGCTCTCGAATATTATTGAGGAAGTCAGTGGCCTTCCAGGGTGGTGTTGGGGGTTGAATTTTTAGCTCAGCTAGGGTAACAGTTTCTCTCGAAGGGGTGGGGAGAGGGGGAACACGGGAAAAGGAGAGGTGGGATAGGGGCCTGCTCTCACTCTCTCATGGAGTTGGAGAAAGACAGCCGGTGCTGCTACCTAGCACCCTTTCCGCAATTCCAACGCTGGGAGCCACGTTCCCTGCTGTCAGACATCGCCCTGATGCCTTTCCACTTCATCCAACTGCCTCCAGACACT